GGCTAAGGGACCTGCCTGGGGTCTCAGCACCAGCGCTGGAACCCCTTTCTTTACACAGTGACTCCCCCAGGCTCCTCCTCTCCTGCACCAAGCGCCCTCCAGAAGAACAAGCAGGGCCCAGACTGGGGACTCTAGTGCGTTTCAAGCGCCCAGCCAAGCCCGTCACAGATCCCACAAGTTGTCCTGCACCCTCGGCCTGGAAGGCCCTTTTCTTCCCTGCCAAGTCAAATGTCAAGCTTCAACCCCTCCAGCCACACCAGCCCAAGTGTCACCTCCCGCTGCAATTCCAGCTGCATTTAAGATCAGGCGATGCCTCGCAGCTTAGCGCTCAACTGGAGTTTTTCATGCTGCCCTGGAGAGACTGTAAGGCCCTTGGAGATAAAAATCACGTCTCTTATTCTTTTTTCCTTTTTCTGTTTTTTTTTGCGGTACACGGGCCTCTCACTGTTGTGGCCTCTCCCGTTGCGGAGCACAGGCTCCAGAAGCGCAAGCTCCGCGGCCATGGCTCACGGGCCCAGCCGCTCCACGGCATGTGGGATCTTCCCGGACCGGGGCACGAACCCGTGTCCCCTGCATCGGCAAGCGGACTCTCAACCACTGCGCCACCGGGGAAGCCCCCTTTTTTGCTTTTTCTTTCCATCTCTCACGCAGCCAGAATAGTGCGGGGTCAAGTGAGCATTTGGAAAATTGCTTGCTGACTGGTTTTCTTTCCCCCTCAAGTAAGATGTCACTCCCAAGATTTTATGAAGCCCTAGGCCAATAGAAATATATTTCCAAAGCAAAGGAGACTTGAAAGAGATAAAAGACAAATTACAGAGACAATGAGACACCTCTGAGGACTTCACTCTCTTTTCTCTGGAGGTCAGCCAGGGTAATTTGAATTTTAGAAGCATGGATTTTAGATACTCAACTGTATTATTGCACATTGGTTTTAAAAACATACATATAACCAATTTAGCTAAACAAAGACTAGTTAAGACACAAATTGAATTTGGCTTAGACATTAAGATCATCCTCTTGGGTAGATTTTAAAAAATGAGAGAAAATGAGTACCTTGCCAGTTCCAGGAGGCCCTGCCAACAAGACAGCTCTTCCAGCCATTTTCTTGCTTTTGATTAATTCCACTATCACACCACATGCCTAGACACCACAATAGAAAGAAATAATAAATCAATATTAAAATGTTTCACAGGACGAAAAAGTCCAGTGTCTGGTCCACACAACTCAGACTCATCGAGTGCCAGGACACCACAGGCGCTGTTCTAGGCGCCAGAGGCAGTAGAGGGCCATGGAGCTCATGTCCTAGTGGAGGAGACATACAAACACAGAATCTCTACTATGAAGAAAAAAGAGCAAGAAAAGAGCAGGCGGCTGGGGGCAGAGGTTACTCTATAATAAAGAGTGATCTGGGAAGGCCTCTTTGACATTGTATTTGATATACGAAGCTGCAGGCAGGGCAGGAGTCAGTGTTCCAAGCAAAGGAAACAATAAATTCAAAATACAGGAATGAGCTTGGCATGTCCAAGGGACAGAAAAGCTGTGCTGACCAGAGTTCAGAAAACAAGCAGACCGGGAAGATGAGGTTGTAGAGGCAGGAGGGGCAGCACTCAGAACAGAATCTTCCAGTCCATAGTAAAGTTTGGATTTTATTCTACGTGTAATGGGAAGCCAGTGAAAAAGCCTTAGGCCGCATGTCATGTTCTGAAATTTTGTTTTTAAAGTATCTTGATGGCTGCTATGTGGATAACAGACAGGAGGGGTACAAATGGGAGCAGTGGCATATACTCCAGGGGCCCACACACCTCAAAACTGGAAACAAGACTCTGTGTATATGTTCAAATGTGCATTCTTCCAGGGAGGGGTCACAGCTTTCATCACATTCCCAAATTAACCCACTAAGGGCTAAGAATCAATGACATATGCTACTAGTTGGCCATCAGTTAACTATCCCGGAATGCTGTAAGCAAATGCAGCACGTGAGGTTTAACCTACAGCATCCTAAGATCCGAGGAATGCCCTTCAAATCCTCAAGATTACATTACTTGTTCGTTTGTGTATTTTAAGTATTCTGAGTATTAAGCCATTTACAGCATCTATATTATATATAGACAGGTATGGACATTATATACATACAGCATGTATTTTGCATACACATACACATATATACAGTTGACCCATGAACCCTTGAAGTTAGGGGCACCCAACCTCCACGCAGGCGAAAATCAGGGCATAACTATACAGTCAGCCCTCCATATCTGTGGTTCAGCAGCCCTGGGTTCAACCAACTGGGGGTCATGTAGCACCCTAATATGTATTTATTAAAAGAAATCTGTGAATAAGTGGACCCATGCCGTTCAAACCCATGTTGTTCAAGAGTTCACTGCATATTGATACGTGTGTTTAGAAATTCCATAAATGCGTTCCTGGTTTTATGTATTTTACAATATTTAACTCTAAAGGAGTAGGGCTGAGAAAATCACACTCCTTTAACACCTAATCTCAAGGTTTCTCACACTGATCTAAAAACCGAAAGCACAACTGTCTCCAAGGTGCACCGTCCTTGCCTCAGGGCAGGCCCACAGCTCCTCTACCTGGGTGGTACCTTGTGGACAGGGTCTTGTGAGCACATCTTATCTCCTCTCCCACTTTCCCCATGGACTGTGGAGACGTACCTTGGTCCCACACTTAGACAGCCCCTCAAAAACGTGGGTTCAGGGAATGCATGTGGATGTGCCCTATTCCACTTCTGGCTCAGCTGGAAAAGCACAGTACACTTAACAGAGCCTAGAAGATATTCTTCAGATGCTGCATCTCTAAAAAGGCAAAAGAGCCATTATGGTCTTTCCACAGTAACCTCTGATATCATAATCCTCAGCACTGGAACTCTCTGGGCAACTCAAAAGAGGTAGAAGAGCCTTTGCCAACCTTGGCTACGTACTCTTACTCACACACTTCCCCTTCCATTTAATCTTCTTCCATTTAGGCTCCTTCTCTCCAGTGAGACATGTCCAGTGAATTCCAAAATTTAAAAAGTATGAACTGGAAGGGCCTTTAAAAGATGACCTAGTCTAACTCTCATTGTTCAGATGAGGACAGGCTGCTGATGCGACCAGACTCAGACAAGGACCTGGTAGCAGAGGTGGGATGCCTAATAATTCAGTACGTAACTTCTGAGTCCCTATAATGAGTCAGGTTCTGGGTACATGATGCTACCCGGTCTCTATCCTTGGGAAGCTCACATTCGTATGGAGGCACACGGCGTCAGAGTCAAGAGTATGGGTTCTGGAGCCAGACAGACTTAGGTTTAAATCCTGGCTCTACCAATTACCAGCCGAGTACCACAGATCCATAACCTAACCTCTAGGAGCCACAGTTTCCTCATCTGAAAACAGAGTTCACAGCACAGTGGCACAAAGGCTAACGGGTTTATGGTAAAGTATGCTAATGTCTACAACTTACTTTGAAATGCAAAAGCAGATTGTTAGATGGATAAATGAGCAGACAGAAGACAAAGCAACAGAGTAAAATGTTACTTGTAGAATTCAAGCACACAGGTACACACTACACAAGTCTTTCAACTTTCTGGCATGTCTGAAAAGTGTCATAACATAGCGGAGGAGGGACGGGTATAAGGGTGGTGATGAACAATAAGACAATGGAAACGGAGCTGCTTAGCACAGTGCTCGGCACATGAAAAGCACTCAACAGCGTCAGCTACTCGCAGAGACAGGCCCTCCGAGAGCAGAAGCTGGATAAAGAGAAATTTCAAAGTCACCTTGGCCCTGTCACTATTTCCTCTCTGGAAACCTGATGTTCCAAATGGAAACCAGAGGCTTCTCTTTGGCCCCTTCTATTAGCACAATCAGGCTAGGAGGCAAGAGTCTTACCCAGGAGTTCTGCAGCTGCCGAGCCACCGCAGGGGCAGAGGGGCAAAATGGGCTGAAGTTAGGGCTGAAGTTAGGGCTGAAAGGGCCCGAGGGGGCGGTCCTACCACAGAGCGCGCTGCTTCAGGAGTCAGGGGCACACAGGCACAAACTCCAGCATTACTATTACTAAACTGGGTGGCAAGCGGATGGGTGAAGTGACCATTCCCACCCTCAATGTTTTCATCAAAAAAAAAAAAAAAATACACACACACACAAAGAGCCTGAACAGTTTTGTGATGATAATGCGGCCGAAGGCACTTGGCACCAGCATCACTTAGCAGAAGTGGGCTTAACGGGAATGTTCAGAAACGCCTCTGTAGCTGCCACCTGCTCAGGCGGATCACCTCCCGACTATAAAAGTCCCAGAGCCTCTCACTGCGCTCACAGCAACTCAAACGCCGTGCCCGGGCCCGCAGAGCCCCGCAGGAACTGATCCCCGAAGTCTAATAACGGCCCTTCTGTTCAGCGGTTTAAATGTCTGTGTCTGAAACGCGAGCTCCCAGAGAGCAGGGACCTGGCCCATCCTCTCCCCGCCGACCGCCGTGCCGCGCGGACGGCCTGGCCCCGAGCGGTGGTCAGTCAGGACTGGCGGTCAGTCAGGACTCGCGGCCAGGAGCGAGGCCGCGGGGTCGTCGCCGCGCCCCGGGACGTCCTCCCCCCGCCCCCCCCCCAGGTCCGCGCCGCCCGGGCCCACCTCAGCCCCGTCCCCGCCTCAGTCTCCCCCTCAGTTCAGTCCCCCCGCCTCAGCTCCCGCCCCGCCGCCACACCTCGCGCGCGTTCTCCTGGCCCACGAGCCCCGAGGCCGCCTGCTTGGCCAGGCCGCTCTCGTCCAGCCCCAGCCCCTTCACGTGGCTGTGGGACGCGATGCGCTGCGTCTTGGTGGTGCTCTTCACCTCCTCGATCTTCATCCTGCGCACCTGGAGCCCGAGCGCCCGCTCAGCCCTAGCAGCGCGCAGCCGGTTACCACGCGGCCGTTACCAGGTGGCTGGTCCGGCCCCGCCTCGGTCAGCTCCCCATTGGCCGCGGCGGGAACTCCTCAGCGCCCCATTGGCTCCTGGCTTTGCCCGTCGCGGCTGCCGGGAAGGTTCCGCCCACTCACTTCCGGCTGTGTCCCGAGGTTGGCTTCCCCCGCAGCCGGCGCTTCCTGCCCGGGTGGGCCCGAAAGAGCCGCTGCGTCGCAGTGAGGGCCCGAGTTCCGCTCTTCACGGCGCCTTTGCGTCAGTGACCGCATTCGAATGGATACCCTTTTGCGGAGCTCAAGTTCGACCTCGGTGTTGGAGATGAAGAGACAGGTTTAGAACTTAAGCTTCGACTTGTGCCCACTAAGCAGTTTTCTGACTCCCACGCCTTTCATCTCCCTGGGGAGGCTGTGCTCAGCCTCCGCCTTGGGCTTGTCCTCCTCTTCTCCTCGCCTCCACGTCTCCCTTTACTTAGATTAAGTTGGCTGTGGATGACGTTTAGTGTAATTCCTAATGCAGATAAAGGTGCGGGCTAAAAGAGGCCCAATAACTTATGAAGAACGCACAGCAAGTAATCAGAAGAGTTGGAACTCCACCTGAGGACTTCAGGCTTTGCAGCCGGTGTAAACCTCATCCCATCCCACGACCTCAGGTGAGACAATTAGCCAGTGGCTGTGTCCTGTCCGGTTCCGTGATGATATTAACACTTCCCCCAAAAGTGTACTCTTCCCATCCACCCAGTCATTCCACAAACATTTGTTAGCACCTGCTGTGAGCCAGACAGTACAATGCACTAGGATGCACACATAAAATACAAAATCTCCAGCCTTGACAAGCTCAGTCCTTAGTTGGGAAACTTGCAACATGAGGTGTGCCAAAGCAGGTACCCCCACGTGGTGTGCAAGCCCAGAGCAGGGCCATCTGGAAAAGCTGGAGAGCCAAGGAAGGCGCCATGATGTGGTAACGCCTGGACCAATCCCTGACAGAAGGATAACATCCTCGGAAGCAGACGTTATGTCACCATTTCACACCTGAGTGGACTCAGGTCCAGAGAAAGGGAGGGACTGGCCCAGAGCTCAGGGGAGCTTGCATTAGGGTTGAGACAGACCTGAAGTCAAATCCAGGTGCAGGAGTTCCTGACTCTCACATCTCCTTGTACTTCTCCATCATAACTTTTGAGTCTAGGTTTCTGATTACTTGCAAGACTATCAGGTCAATGTTAGTCTCTCCCACTAAATGGCAGGCATTCTGAAAGTGTAGACCACGTCTGTGTTCATCATTTTAACCCCAGTGTCTGGCACACAGCCTGGCTCACAGTTAAGGCTTCTTATAAATTCAGTAGGGCTTTGGACACTCACATACACACAAAATCATGCAGTTTTGCTGGAGGTATTTTACACAGCGGATCTTATGGGACTTGATAATGGTTTCTGTCAGTGAATGGAAACTTTTGACCCCCACCTCCCCCTCCACCAGAGCTGTTACATGTTTTTCCTGCTAAAGAACAGTTCAAACATCTGATCCAGCCTAGCATTCTCTTTTTACAGGTGAGGAAACTGAGGCCCTACAAGGGGACGGAGTTTGTCCAAGATCGCAAATTGAGCAAATGCCTTTCCCAGGCCTAGACCCCAGGTCCAGTGTGCAAAGAAGCTGGGCCTGGCTGCAGAGCCAGGCAGTTCCTTTCATTTCAACAGAAGACGACGCGGCAGGCCAGTGTCCAAAGTGTACAAGGTGCATGAAGGTAGGTGCGGCCAATAGCGGTGGACAGGGGTTATTATGCCCAGCCAGCACCCTTCCTACCTCTTCTGGCCGCCTTCACTCTAATTTTCTGTAGAGAACCCCCCTTCCCCCACTTGGCATCTAGGTGGTTTAGATGGGTTGACCCCCACCCCCAGCTTTATTTCAGGAATGGACACGGGACCCTGGCCTGGCCTATCAAAGTATCCCCTCCTCCCCAGAGTGGTGATTGGTTCAGAGATGTGAGCGGACAGTCCAATGGCACTCAGACCTGCACTTTTACTGGAAATATCGGGAAAGAGACTTGGGTCCTAGGTTTCCAGGTCATCTTGGCCTCTTCATGGGAAGACTCTGTCTGAGAATGAAGCCAGCACAAAGGAAAGGAAAGCTGGCAGATTCCTGATGAAATCCTCTACGTTCCCAGATCCAGCTTTGCCCTACTTGGCAGTGTAAATGACACTGACGTTGGGACTTAAAATAACTTGAGTTAGGGTTCCACCCATGGGTCTGTGCAGTGACACACATACAAGGAATGGAGTGGACAGTTGCATCCCAGCTTGTGCTGTGTGACAACCCCAGACCTGCCTGTTCTCTCACTCTCACTCCCATGAGCCTTGCTCTTTCACCTCCAGTACCTTGGACCCCTCTTTTCTCCAGTCCAAGCTTGAGCATCTCAGCCACTGGTTCCCAGTGCTTCTGCTTGCTCCTTGCTTTGACTTCTTTCACACCTGACCTTTGAGCCCAGAAGCCCAGGTCCAGCCTGCCTCTGCCTTCTCCAACATCTTGAGAAGGCTGCTGCATGTGGAGGGGGGCAATGACCCAGGGGCCCCGTGGAGCCACACGTTGTCGTGGTCTCCAGGCTCAGCTGAGTGCTGAGAGTGTATCCTAACTAATGGGACGTTGAATAATGGTCTGCAGTAATCAAACAGCATGGCACTGGCACAAGGACAGACATATAGACTAATGGAATAGAATAGACAGCCCAGAAATAAACCCTCAGTATATCAGCAAGAGTGCCAAGACCATTCAAAGGGGAAAGAGCTGAAACTTAATTCTTTTTTTTTTTTTTTGTCGGCCATGCCACGTGGCATGTGGGATCTTAGTTCGAACCTGTGTCCCCTGCAGTGGAAGCGCGGAGTCTTAACCACTGGACCGCCAGGGAAGTCCAGTAACTAAGTCTTGATTTGGTGACTTGAGGCTTAGCATAAGCCACTGTGTTTTGGGCCCATTGTCTTATTTTTAACAATTTCCCCCTTTTGACCAGTCTCTCAGCCTGAGGGATGCAATACAAATTGAAGGCATTAGTGCTATTCCCAGCTACCACTCTGGAGGCTTCGCAGCTTCTGCTGACCCTCTGTGTGGTGCTCACGGGTTATGACGTCGGGTTCACGTTCTCTGTCAGTCTTTCTTTCGTTCTTTTTCTGATGTTTCAGTCGTAGGGAGATCATTTGCTTGGTGCTTGGTGGCTGCAAACATGCATTTAAAGCTCTTGAGAGAATACAATGCACGACAAAGATTATTACAATGATTAAGAGCAGGATAATTCCCAGTGTCTGGGGTGCGCTTCAGAGCCATGATCCCCAAGATCCAAACCAATCAGAATCAAAATCAAAGAAAGTCCCTGTTGAAAGAGTCCCCTGTTTAAGCTAATGGGCTTAGTCCCTGGTCTTGTATTCCCACATTCTCACTCCCCTTTCTGATCGTTGCCAACCTCATTGGCATGCTTGTTATTTCAGCCCCAGGCTGATTTCTGGGGACAGAAGGAACACCTTAGAGGTGGTACAAGACATAAAATTAAATAACGTTGCTGGCATCTTAGAGGTGGTACAAAGGCATAAAATTAAATAAAGTTGATCCACATAGTGAGAACTTTATTGCCTTTTTAATTCTAATTCAGTGAGTCTTAGCGGGTGGAGTGTGACTTTAACCCCTTTCTAACGCTTGCTAATCTCTCTTTTTATTAACGATCCTGATTCTGAGGTTGTTGTGGTTCCCAGCTATTTATGGCAAGTGATAATGTTTTTCTGTGTAAGGGAGATACTTTTATTTATTTAAGTCAAACTTAAAGAAAAATATGAAGTTGTAGGTGGTACCTGGATATTGCATAAATTATGAAGATGGTTCATATCACTGAGGTTGAAAAAAACCTGACATAAAACAAGGATCAGCTGGCAGGGAGCAGAGGGCCTGAGCAAGTCACCTCTCCCGGCCCTCTTCCCTCTGCTGTAAAGTAGCGATAACAGCACCTCCTGGGATTATTAAAAGAATTCAGTGAGATCTTTTACAATGGGCTCAAGCACTGGGAGGGGCACAGAAAATGGCATCAGAGCTTTGGAACATAAAGACATGGGCTATTTCTCCCTTGGATATCTGCCTGCTGTGTGTGTGTCCTGCCCTTCGTGGTAATTTTGTCATGCTTTTCAAACGGAAACAGTACCCGAGGGCACTCACTGGAATTGCTTTGGAGCCTGAGGTAGGAAGTGGGGCTGGGGACGGGGTCAGGTTAGCCAGGGTGAGGCCTGTGCCTCCGATTGCAACCTTCTCTGCTGGGGAACAGTTTCCGTCCGTCTCAGCAGGCACATCCCACCGCAGTGGGGAAACCCGACAGCAGATGCCGAGAAAGCAGCTGGAGCCTGCAGGTCCCCTGGGCTCCATCTGGACCATCGTCCCACTGGCGTCCCACTGGCGTCACATGGCAATGGGGTCAGAGGTCAGGGCAGCCTGGGCAAAAGCAGCAGGTCTGACCAGCGGACAGGCCGTGAGGCTATTTCCAGTGTAGGTCTTAGCTGTCAGACTCTGATTCTCTGACCAGGTGGGAGGGAGTTAGGAGCCCTTCACTGATTTAATAAATGGGAAGAGACTCCACACTCCAAGTAAATGTTTGTATTAGTTTCCTATGGCTGCAGTAACAAATTGCTGCAAACTTAATGGCATAAAACAACACACAGGTATTCTCTTACAGTTCTGCAGGTCAGTGTCCAAAACGGGCCTCACTGGGCTAAAACCAAGGTGTGGGCAGGGCTGCGTTGCTGTCTGGAGGCCCTGGGGGAGCACCCACAGCCTGGGTTTTTCCAGCTTCTACAGGCTGCCCACCTTCCTGGACTTACGTTCTGCTTCCGCCTTTAAAAACAGTAACGGCCAGCAGCGTCTTCTCATGACGCCATCTCTGGTTCTGATCCTCCCGCCTCCCTCCTGTAACGGCCCTGGTGACTACATCAGGCCCGCAGGATAATCCAGGGTGAGCTCCCCACCTCCCCCATCCCCGCCATCGCAAGATCCTTAACTGAATCACACCTGCCAAGTCTCGTTACCATGGAGGGCAACACCATCACAGGTTCCAGGACATGGACATCTTTGGAGGCCACTGTTCTGCTGCGGCCAGGCTTCCCTCCAGGGGTCCCATTAGGGCCCAGACTGATTTCCCCAGGCTTTAGTCCAGTATCAGAGAGCACACTTTTCTATTGCCTGTCCTGGAAAAAATTCCAGGGTTTTCTCCGACTGTGCTAACTTGGGTCACACGCTCACTGCCAAACCAATGGTCATGCCTACTGGAATGGACCTGAGTCTCAGGCCCACCCCTAGAGCTAGCGTTCAGTCAGCCCCCATAGTGACCTGGAGGAAAGGAGTGTGAGACCTCCAAGGAGAGTTGAGGAGTCTTACAGAAGAAGAGGGAGGGGTCGCCAACCACTGTAGACCTTAAAGAGTTGTATCCATATCCAGGTGGAAAGTGTGCTCCCAGGCACACAGCCAGCACGAGGTAGGGCCGTGATTTGAACCTGTGTGGGGCCAGTTCTTGCCAGGACATCAGCTCCCACCCTGCAGCTAACGGGGCATTAGCAGATCTGTTCAGTACTGGCAGTGCCATGGAGCACAGTGGTGGCCTGGGTGACAACCTCATGTGAGGTTAGTATGGGACATGTCGAGGAAGGTACGTGGTTAACACAATCACTGGCAAGGTAGATACCCTCAGAGAAAAAGGAAATTTCCATTTTACTCCTAAAAGAATCTTTAAAGCCAAACTCAAATCAAAGAGCAAAGTATAATAACTTCCTCTGAGCAAATTTATAATTAATCCTGGATTAATTGGCCTTAATGAAGTTGAATTAATTACTAGCTGTTCGTAAAGAACTTTGAACTACCTTCGTACAAAATGGCATTAAAGAAACAGAAAGGAACCAGCATCGCATTAACATTAAGAACAAATCCCCAATAATCGCAGTTCTGCAGGCCGTTCCCTGTCAGTCATTTCCCAGAGACAAGGCCCAGCCTTGGAACCCAGGCTGGGACCCAGGAGTCTGCTGCAGAGGATGGTGTCTTTGTGGGCTGGAGGTTTGGAGGTGGGTCCACTCAAGAAACAGTTATGGAGGCTTTGATGTGCCAGGCCGAGGGGAAGCAAAGATGTGTAAGGGGTCCTCAGCCTGCTGGGACAGGGGAGAGCACCAGGGCACCAGCCTGGTCTAAAGCAAACTCGCCTCACTGGGGTAGAAGCCAGGATAGGGACAAAGGACAAAGGAGGGGGCATGATGTGACCTGCATTTTGCTGGCAACAGGGCTCCAGTTCCTACAGGGTGTCCCTCACACTCTCCCTGGCTCTTGGAGTGAGCTTATGACTCACACCTGCCTAGGCAGAGGTCTGTATTTCTCTGCTTGGTGCAGGGGCACAGCTGACCCCAGGATACAGTCTGAATCTGGCTGACTTTTCAGACAACTCAGAGCTGCCGTCTCCTTGGCACTTGTGGAGACAGGGCTAGACTCCAGGCTACTGCTGGGGCAGCACCTGTCTTGGAGCCAGCTGTGGTGTGAGTTGGACACGGTAAGACCTGGCTTAAAGCCCCAGCCCTGCCGCTGGTGAGCGTTTAGGTGTAAGTCGGGCCGGGTAACAGCTACAGCCCGCAGCCCCAAGGCTCGGCGGCCTCACCAGGCAAAATGTCTCTCAGATTTCACATGAAACACTCTCGTCTCTTGAAAAGCGGGAAGATGGGGCAATGTTGGGCTAGCATTCTTGCCTGGTGTCACTTGGCCAAAGCTGAGCCGTGGCTCCCCATCTGTGGCCACAGGACATGTGCTCTCCACCTCCGCAGTCTCCACCACCCCGGGCACCTTAAACCCTGCTGATTACTCTCTGGCGAGTCACCAGCCTGGCCAGGGCAGACCTTTAAATTTGTGATCCGTGTTGTTGCCCGTGGGCGACACCTTTTCTGTGGGTGACATTTCAAGAGAATGAGCGTTGCGGGCCCTCCCCAGCACGCGCGCACTCACACGACCTTCTGCGTACAGTTTGGCGGCCCCCTGAGGCCAGGCTGACTGCCCGGTCCGAGATTCTCCGAGCAGCCTTCCCAGGTTTCCCGCGCTGGCTCTTAGGCAGGACTGGCTCAGCTTCGCGGCCCGCCGTCCCTGCCCCGGGCCTGGTGCTTCCACCGCTGCTGTATTTCCCCAGGGCTTCTCGGGGTCCGTAGTGGTCTGGTTCCGTCTTTACTCCCGGTTATTGTTCCCCCCCCACCTCCGGGTCCCCCATGTCCTGCGGGGAAAGCGACCTGTCCCCGCGCGGTGGACAGAAGGCGCCGGGTGCCCAGAGGGCGCTCAGCTAGAGCCCGTGGAAACGAACGAACGAACGCGAGGACTGACGGAGGTCGGCCCCGGCGCCTGGCTCCCCGGCTCGGGGGACTGACCGCGCGGCCGGAAGCTTCGGCGCCGGAACGTGCGAGCGGGGCGCGGGCGGCGGGGGCCGGCTTAGCGGGCGGACCGCAGCGGCGGCATGGCGGGCCGGCGGGTGAACGTGAACGTGGGCGTCCTGGGCCACATCGACAGCGGCAAGACGGCGCTGGCGCGCGCGCTCAGCACCACAGCCTCCACCGCCGCCTTCGACAAGCAGCCGCAGAGCCGCGAGCGCGGCATCACGCTCGACCTGGGCTTCTCGTGCTTCTCGGTGCCGCTGCCCGCGCGCCTGCGGCCGGCGCCGCTGGGGGCCGAGCCCGAGCCCGAGCCCGGGGCCGAGCCGCGGCTGCAGGTCACGCTGGTCGACTGCCCCGGACACGCCTCCCTCATCCGGACCATCATCGGCGGTGAGCGCGGGCGGGGGGTGCGGGGCTCGGACGCGCCGGGGCGGGGGCGCCCGCCGGGAAGTCTCTCGCGCCGCCCCCAAAACAGCGAAAGTGTTTTTTACCACATGCGTTCGTAATACACTGCGTTCGTAATACACAAACAGGTTAGGGAAACTCAGAGACCCTGAAAGTGCCCAGAAGGCGTCCACTCGCTGTCTTTTGGTCTCCTGCTGCCCATCTCCGGAGTCAGCCGCTGTCCCGTCCTGTGCCGTTTCGGAGGAACTCCGTGTGCAGGCAGCGTTCCTGTGTATATGTCGACCCCTCTTTTTCTCGTTCTTTTTTTTTTTTTTCCACAAAATGGTAACACCACTCTATTGAGTACTTCACTCAATACTCGGGCCTGCCCATTCGTACATATAAAGCAACATCATTCTTTTTAAAGGTCACATGAAATTCCGTTGTACACTTGCACCACCGTTTTCTGAATGTCTTAATGATGGACATTTATGTCGTTACTCATTTTTGCTAACGATGCTTCAGTGAGTTTTATAGAACAGACGTCTTTGGTGGGTGTGCTAGTGTGTCTGTAAGGAAAGACCCTAGAACTGAGATGCTGGGGCAGAGAGTCGTGGTGGGTACTGCCCAAAAGCCTTCGTGAGATGTACCATTTAATTAATTTAAATTATACAAGCAGTACATGAATACATTCTACTTCTGAAGAAATAGAACGTTACAAACCAGGCAGAAGGCCCCTAATTACCCCTCCCATCTCGCCAGAGGAAGCCACTAGTACACCTCTGTGGATTACTTTTCCACACCCATTTCAGTATACTTGACTCCATGGACAGGTGTTTTGTTTATATAGAAAAATGGTAGCACGTGGCACAAAGGGTGTATATATAGTTCAGAGACTCCTCACTGCTGACCCAGGGACCTGGTACCTCCCTGCTTTCCACTTCCTCCAGACCCTTCCGGTGGCATTCTCTGCTCCCACGAGTACGTATAGGAACACTTCTTGGTCAGATGGTTTTATCGGCCTGCTGGTGGACAGCTGCACTGGTTGCTCGCTGGGCATAGCGGGCCCTGCTGTATGATGAGTGTTGAGTACTTTCACCTTGTCACCTCCCGTCTGGTCCATGCTGCAGGCAGTCTGAGATCATTTCCCTGTTTTCAGGAGAGGAACCGGAGGCTCGTAGAGGAGCAGGAACCTGCTCCGGTCCCCCGCCTCACATCTTCTACTCCAGCCGTGTTCTAGCCACAGATGCATGTGAAGGGGCACGCGATCCTCTCTGCTCTCCCCTCCCCTTGTCACTGATTTCTGTTTGGTCACGTCCAGGTACATTTTAGGACACGTTCTCTGAGCCAGTGTAGGTTGGAGGTTAAAAAATGGGAAGGCAGATTGGTGGTCTTTTCTTGTGACAGGTGTAGGGAGTGAAGGACATGCTTCTGGAGTCTGTGGTGAGGCCTGGCTTTCTCCCTCACTGACCTTCTGACCTCGGATGTGATTCTGGACTGTCCACACTCTGGCAGATCTCAACTGGCTTTGCTTTTCTTGCACGTTTGCCACTTCCCGGGCAAACACTGCAGGGAGTGTGGTGGTTACTGTTCGGCCATCGAGGGGCTTGGGACTCGGGGAGGCTGCTAGGAAGTGGCCGACCCAGGGCTCTGCTTGACTCCAAAGCTGCCACTTCCCGGGTCACTGTCCTCTGCCCTCCCCTTCCACGTGTACGTTCGTGGTGTTTCTTCATGGGACAGAAGGTTTCAGGCACCAAATTATAACGTCTCCAAGCATTTGACAAGTCCTTGGTTTAGACTGTAAATTGTTGAAGAAATGAAGAGGGATTTCTCTCCTGTCGTATGAACATTGCGGCTCTTATGTTTCTCTCGCCCCTGAGAGGGGAGACTCTCCTTGTCTTCTTACAGGTGTTAACATGTGACCTGAGCACATTGCAGTGGTGGGACCAGGGCTGCTATTCTTCTTCCTTCAATAGATGAGATTCCCACCCTCCACTCAGGGAAGTGAGAAGAAAAAGTGGCTTTTTTCTTTGGAGGGGAAAGGAGCTGCATCTGAGTGTCTGCCAGGGTCCACGCCTGTGGCTACAAACTTGCGTCTGTGCGATAACGCTGAGTGATGGGGGTGTAGGGGGGCATGGGCCCCACTCTTCTGATGAGAAAACTGAAGCTTGGAAAGTCAAGTTCCCTGGGCAGGCGTTGGGACCTGCTCTGCCGCCCCTGACCCGGGTCTGGTGAATCCCCTTCGTTATCCTTATGTTGCAGAGGCCACGTGTGTCTTCACTTGTCCTTCCTCTCCAGACTGTGGGCCCTCCCCTCCTCCCTCTGCTGACCCCCCACACGGTGGACAGTCTGCTCCTTTTATGGATGTCTTCAGATCAGGTCAGCCGTCAGCTGAAGACTGTCCGGGCGCTCATTGCCCCCCCCAGTGACCCACGATCTGGCCTCTGCCCTCTCCTGAGCCTCTTCCATGGCTCCTGACCTCCAGTCACACTGGCCTCCTACTTACTGGATGGGCCAGTGTTGCACCTGCTGTGCCCTCCTCATTTAAGTCTCAGCTCGAGTGTCACCTCCTCGGAGAGGCCTCCTCTGACCTACTGGCCTAAAGTGTCCCCAGTTCTCTACCATCATACTTCCTCATGTCCGTGTTTTGTTTCCTGCTAGCCCTTGGTGCTGTCTGATACGCGTGATGTGCTTGTTGATGGCCTCTGTCCTCCACGAGAGCATAGCAGGAATTGGGCCAGAGCCTGGCATGTAGGAGGCACTCGGAAGTCCCAAATGAATGAAGCTGGGGTTGGGGGGGTGGATCGAAAGTCACCAGCAGGGCCCCTCTGGGGGCTGACAGCAGAGCCAGGGGGAGAGTGCTGTGCCGTGTGCAGAGTGACTCATTAGGGCTCTTTGCGCAGCGGTGACTTGCTTTGCAGGGCATGGTGGAGAAAGAAAAGCTTGCCCAGTGGCGGCACAGCCTGGGTGAGGCTCTGAGGCGTGAGCCTGCTGTCTTGTCTGTTCAGAGCCAGGGGTAGCTGCCAGCATTTAGCAGCTGGAAATGGGCCTGGTGAGTGGGGAGAGGTGTGGAAGGTGAGGGCGGGATCGTGTAGAGAGGTAAGTGGGGAGAGGTGTGGAAGGTGAGGGCGGGCTCGTGTAGAGAGGTGAGC